TAGGGAACTTCATTCTCACTATACTGTATTCAGTAATAATGTAATTCCTTAGAACTTGTCACCTACATACAGAGTAAGGCAAGTAACTAATTCTCAGTTAAAGTACTCAAATGTAAATTTACCCAACAGTAAGATGAATCAACAGGCCAGCCAGTTACCCTTCAAGATTACTTCTGCTCTAACCAGACTCAAAAGCCCTTTTTCCCTTTAAAAAGTAGTATAGTTGGCTAACCCAGATGAAGAATTTATTAAGCTGGACAAAGCAAATGATTCACACTTTCCCTCTGTCATTCTCAAACATCTACACTGGAGCTAAGAAAACAGTCTGCATGGTCCATATCTGTTCAGTTCATGTATCCATGAATTTTAAATATAACAGGCAATTCACAATGCCATCATTGTTTTTAAGTATATAAAGAAAACTCCAACTTAATGAAAAATTGAGTAATGTTTGGTTATATTTATTATAGTTATTTTTGATATCTTTGGAAACCATACTTAACTATTTTATTCAAATAATTAGATTATGTAATAGACCTGAAGATAGGTTCTACATGTCTGAGTTCTACAAAATTCCTAACAGCACAAGTACAAAATGTCACAAGTACAAAAATGTCCAGTAAGTTGCAACCATCTCATAATCTTTATTATAGTAGTTCATCAAAAGGCGATTAGGAGTTGGTCACTCTCAAACATTAAAACTCTGTATCAATGAAAGAAAAATATGACCCTGGAAACTTCTGATGGCTCCATGTAACTCCCTTAGCCCTCCCTGCTAGCATTACTTCAGACTAAACAGAATGCCTGCCTGAGATCTAAAAATAATAAGAATCTATTATTGGCATAATAAAAATGCTTTTGAGCTATAACTTGTTCCCCATTTTAATCTCTAACCTGTCAAATGGACTCAATTCAGTAAAACTCTAAAAATAAGGGCAATTAAAAAATATTGTGTGATATATACTTAAAAATAATTGAAATTAATGTTTTAAAGGAGGCATAAAAAAGCTAAGCTCATGTATTGCCGATAGTAAGAAGTTACATGTGTGGCAAGAGGTAAACATATGAGAAGGAAAGACCACAAAGATGCATGAGAATCACAGTAAACAGGACTGTAAACGAAGACAAGCTATTATAAAAGCAATAGAAGAACCTGATAAGGTGGAACCAAAGAATACCCAGAAGTCCACCGTCACCAACATTTGCTAAAACACACACTCCTGACACTAATTAGACCTAGGTTTCAGCAAATTAAAAAGAACAAAATGTTACAAAATTGGAGTTACACAAATTGTATCACTAAAAACTAAGAGTTTAATGAATGAAGTTATCAAAACATTGATTTTCTCATAGCTCCAATGGCAGAAAGGGGTTGCAATTAATAACAGACCCTGCTTTCCTCACCTAAGTTTACCCAATAGGCACCTAGAACTCCCTGTATTTTTCACTAGAATACCTGCAAATCAATCATTAATATTTTGGTTCTAGAATAATGAAATTGCAACAAGGGTCATTTAGGAAATGACCCTACAACATTTAGGAAAAAACAAACAAACCACATTCACTCTAATTTGATATGCATACCTAATTAAAGTTCTAAGGTGAGCCAGAAAGGAGAAAAAAACAAACTTACATGAGGGCATCATTTGCAATAAGTGCCCCTTAAGACAGATGATTTTTTGATCATGTATTACCTAGAAATTTTTTGTAACCTCAAAGTGACTCCCTTAACAGCAAAGAAACAAATGGGCATACAAGTGCCTAATGAACCATAAAGACTAATGTCTAGTATTTGTTGCATGCTTACTGTGTGCTAAGGAAGCACTTTTAATGCTCACCACTACCCTATGAGGTAGGTACTTACATTACCTTCACTTCACCAATGAGGAAACCTAGGTACAAAGTGGTTAAATCACTTGCTGGGGATCATAATATTATTAAGTGGATGAGATACAAATCAAGTCTTTCTCTATTACAACTATGATAGAAATTTGTTTCCATAATTATGTAATTCTACTGCTGCTCTATTTAAAGGTACTAAAATCCATTTTAACATAACCCCCCCTACTTACTGAAAATAAGAATTTTCCTGTAATTTACTTTGAAAATATAAGAGCTTTTTGATTTCTAAGAATCTTTGAAGCAATTAATTTTTAGCATAAAAATGCTAGAACACTAGCCTACTCTAAGAATTCATCTAATATTTTAATCTAAATGACAGTTTGTCTTTTTGCAATGAAGGAAATATCAGGACTTCCAGTTACAATGCAGCACATTGTTTTAAACTTTTCAATAAAAGCTCATTCAATTTTATATCATTTCATGTATAAAAGTAGTCAACTCAAGCTTCCCCCATCCTTAGAAGCAATTTATTTATTATTACAAATAATCCAAAAATCACTTATAGTTGGCACTAGAATGCTTCAGGAATCAACAATTGAAGGTGATAAAGTAGAAAAACCCTGCACTATAGTCCAGAGACCTCCCCACCAATCCTGGCTCTGTCACTAACTAGCAATTTAGTCTCTTCCACTGCTCTGGGCCTTGTTTTCCTGATTTGCAAAATAAGCACCTCCATGGTCTACTCTTCCAGCTCTAAAAGAAATGTGACTCATACACATACATCTTTTCTCCAAGCTCCCCATTCTCATTCTGTTTAGTTATTACCATTTGCAGGCATTAAACATGATTTTTTCCTTAGTTCAACAAAAGGAGAGAATAGCCCATTCTAAACAAAGATGATAGGGGGAAAGCTTTCCCAACCACTGGTTTGCCATAGACGAATCTCAAGGTGAATAATGTGGAAGCTATTATATGTTAAAAGGTGTTAGGTTTCAATATTTTAGGCTACTGTTTTGTGTGCCAGTACATTCTCCCTAAGGACGAATAGTAAAATTCAAGGACAATAGGGAGAAAAAAAATGTAATTATCCATTAGTTATTCAAGAACCACAAAGGCGCCAACTGAAAATATTAACACCTTTTTGCTGAAAATTTTTCCCTGACTGATGAATTACATTAAAAGGCAAGCTAGGAGCTACAAAATTTTCTCATACGTTCAACTACTCCATTAAAAAAAAAAAACCTTCCGTTTTGTAAACTGTGAGAAATGGTAGAATAACACACATATGATTAGGCAGATTATTAAAAAAGACTAAAGATCTAGCTGTTCAATTCATAGCTTCCTCTTCTCAGTGACATGAAGAACCTCCATGGGGTGCCAGAGTTGGCTTCTGTGGACTGCCACTGCCTAACCCAGGTATACATCTTCTGTGTTCCTAACCTATTCTCAAGAGAGTTATGCAAATACAAGATTATTAAAATTAAGCTATGCATCTGACAGTAAGACTCCCGACTGTTAGAAAACTCAACCTGATTTTAGCATTACTTTCTAGAGCTACTAGCTTACCAACATTTTCCCAGTTCGACACTTAAAATTTAAAGTATCTTAAAACTGCTCTAGAATGTGTAGTTCAATTTTGCATGACCTTGTAATGAAACAATTTAAAGCAAGGGAAAGAAAGCATGCGAATTACTTATGAATCCTGTGGAATAAAAGCCAGGAGCGAACCTTAATAGTATAGTCAGCTCTAAATGTTAAACTGGGAAGAAGTAAGCCACTTCTATAGGTGGAGAGACCTGAAGAAAGGATTTTCAGTAACTGGAGAGGCTGCTGCAAGAGTTTCAAGGTGCAGTTATGAGAACTTCCAGCAAAACTAGCAACTGGTACAATACCATCAAACATACACACATTTTAAAATAAAAGATCACTGACAAGGTCCAGCAGCAAGCCACTTTTTGTTGGAATGCCAAAATGCCAGTAGAAAATGCCAAAATTCACCTTTTGACTCCAATTCCCCAGCCTTTCAAAGTTCAGAACCTACTTACACTGTTTATCAGAGTCCTTTTTAAAATGCAACTCCCTGTCCATAGTCATTTCGTTTCAGCTACTTGAATGCCCAAATCCCGCACCAGAGAATCTCAGCAGCCCAAGTTGTTGCAAAAGGGTCTTCCCCGCCTGCGCATCCCTTTCCACCTCGGGTTAAACCCTCGGAGGTGCTCCAGTCACTTCCCCCATCCAAGCTGTCCAGTTCCCTCTCCATCTCCCAGTGGACCTCTTCTCTTCGACCTTGAGGACCCCCAAATCGGAGCCGAGGAGCCCCAACTGACCTGGCCGGTGTCCCCTTACCTATAGCGCTCGCAATTGCCCCCAGTCTCGGCGGCCACTTCCCGACTCTGATCACGAGCGCCCTCCTACTGGACCGGACGACCCCCTTTCCCTCAGATGCCCACGTTCCTCCAACCGTAGAAACAATCCTACAGAAATGCCTCGAGAGCCTACTAAGCGCAAGGTCCCACTACGCGCGGCGCGGTATGCACCTGGCTTGAGGCCCGGACTCGCCGTCCCCCGCCCGACGTCCTCTTCCCGGCCAGAGGGCCGGCGCTGCCTCCGCCCGGGGTGTGGAGGCGCCGGCCGCGGGCACCGGGCAGAGGAGAGTCGGCCGCTAACTGCGGCGCAGGGACTGAGGGGCGGGCGCCGGCCGGGCAGGGCGCGGACCGCAGGGACACTCACCGGTCGGGGCGGCCTCATCCAGGGGCACCTGCAGCCAGGCAGGACGGGCCCGGACAGCGCAGTCACCGAGAGGGCAAGTCCGCCGCCCGCCGGTCCCGTCCCGTCTCCTCCGACTACCCTAGCGAGGGCAGTCTCGCTTCCTCCGTGCGGAGCCTGAGGACCCCAGCTCCGCCGGATGCCCCAGTCAGGCCCCCACCCCCTTTCCCGGCCGCCTCCCCCCTTCACCCTTTCCCCTCCCCCTACCCCAACCCCCACCGGAATGGAAAATACCTCCCGGGGCGGGGGGCGGCGGGGGCACGCCTCTCTGAAGGGCAGCCTACCGTGACCAATAGCAGGCGAGGCTCTGGAGGGGCGGGATTCCTGGTGGCCAATCCGGAGGCGTGTGGGTGAAGGCCGAAGGAAGAAGGCACGGAGCGAGAAATGGGTGGCCCAGGAGTCGGGGAGGTCCGGTAGCTCGGATGCGCGCTAAACGCGGCTGCCATTTTGGAGTCGGGCAGCTGCGACGGCGGCCGGGTCTGGACCGGGGGGAAAGGAGGAGCCAGTCAGGTGGGAGAGGAGGTCACGTGGGCATAAGGGGCGGGGTAAAGCGGGCTGCCCGAGAGGAGGGGTCTGCGGAGGCGAGTCACCGAGGCTGAGGAGGATCACGTGGCTGAGAAGCGCCTTTGGTGGGCTTCGGAGTGGGGGTCTATTTGAGGTGGGAGAAGGGAGGAAGTTTTGTACCTGGCTTCAACTCTGTTAGGGAAAAGGAAAGGCAAAATGATGAATGGAGGGCATGAGTGCCGTGTTGGAAAATGTGAATGAGTCTTCCAAGCTCCCTCCAATATGGAGCCGCCCAGTTAGTAAATTCCAACATCGACGGGAAACTGGGCACTTCATTTAATTCAAGTATTTCCATCCCACTCCCAGCTGTCACAAACATGACTCACAGATCGGATTGAGGGGTGTTTGTTTCCCACTTTTTGCCTGCACTTTATGTGGAAGGGCCCTCGCCCTAGAAATGGCTAAAGGGTAGAAGCTTAGTTGAGACACTGTGACACTGGCAGAACTCTATCTGGCCTTTAGAAACCTTGTCATTCACAAACTTAACTACTTCCGTGTTTGACATACCCGTGATCAGGTTACAAGGCCTTCAAAGTTTAAGAAAATGAAAACAACAAAACACAAAACTTGTCTGTCTAGCTCTCATCCTTTTCAATTCACAGGTTAAATTATACTCCCTTCTAGTTCACTGAAAGTACGCTTGAGGCTACCAGTGTCATCCGTATAACCAAGTTCAAGGGTCACTTTTTAGTTCTTATTTGACCTCTATTGTAGTAGGTTCTATGGACCACACCCTTCTTGAAGTTTTTTCTCCCCAGTGCACCCTTCACCTCAGTTTCCTTGAGGCTATAAACCTTCAGATTGTCTTTCTCTTCAGTTAATCTTCCTAAATCCGTTCTCTCTTGGCATTTAGAGTCCCAGGATCTGATCCTCAGTCCTTTCCTCAGTAGGTAGACAGTCATTCTACTGCACACTCAGTGATCTAACCATTTGGATGGTTGAGTGTACATTTAATAAGGTCCAGATGTGCATATGCAAGTGTTTTCAAACATCTTCACTTGAACCTCACTGTGACATGTCCAAATGAGAATTCAAATACCCTTGCAAGTCCACAAAACCTGCTCCTTCCCCTCTGTTCCTTATCTACTTTGATAACATTACCATCTACTCACCTACCCAAATCATAAATCTGTGAGAAGTCCTCCATGCTACTACCTCACTGCTGTACACTTCCCTACTCTTTCTAACCTTGTCGTGTTGACTACATTTCTAAATGCCCTTTCCTCTCTGTTTCTACATCTGGGTCATTTATTCATTAGGCCAATATTTACTGAGTACTTTACCTTGTGGCAGGCATTGTTTGAGATGGTCAGGATATAGTGGTAAACAAAAATGACAGGGTTCCTGAATAGGGTGAGACAAACAGTGTATGAGTAAATTAGTAAATAAACAAGATAATTTAGGGGGTAAGTGTTATGATGACAAAAACAAACAGGGAAACCTGTAAGAACCTCCCAAGTTGTTGCCCAACTCCTCACCTTAGTCCCTCCCACCCCTACCCCCTACTCCTTCTCATCTTTTCTTCTTGTTCTCAGAGAGGAGATAGCCCTGATCCTTGCACTTAGAGTCCTAATTTCTTTTCGTTTAATCTGCGAGGGCTTCCCTCTATATTATGGTTGTCTGAATACAAATCCCACAACTAGAAGATAAGCTACTTTGAGGGCAGGGATCATACCTTATACATCTTTGTGTCTCCACAGTGCCTTGGCTCAGAACAGGTGCTCACAAATGAGTGGTAAATGAATTGGTGAATCCCTTAATACCTGAATCAGACCACCACAAAAGCATCTCCAGCTGAAATCTTGTTGGAAAGGTCAGTGAACTCACCTACTAGAGTGTAGTGGCAGTGGTGCTTTATGGCAGGGGCAAGGTTATGAACGAGACAACCTGTTTTGGTCCCTTCCAGGCCTTGTATTCCATGATGCTGTGTGCCATATGTGGCAGTAGTTGCTTCATAAACACCACTGACAGTGTCAAGTTCACATGGGCAGCTTAAAATTACTCTTGGTTTCTGATGACGAGCTCCACACCCAGAGCATTCTGGGTGAATTGCCAGGAGAGGCCTTGCAGGAGAAGGCTGCAGTTGCCACTTTACTTTGTATTTCTAGACCCTTGGGTATTGCACCCCAACAGGGAGCGAGATGTTGCCAGTTCCATCACAGTCATTGTAATTAAATCCAAGTTCTGGCAAAAGGCAGTGCATAATTATGAAGTATTATTATGGTTTTTATCATTATTAGGCACCCAGCTGCCCAGCCCAGGAAACCACAGTAGTAAAACACTGAGAAGCCAATCTCCTCTCCCAGCTGGCATGAATTAATACCAGGTGTATTGGCACACAGTCTTGGAGCTCCACTCATCAAGATGAGACCTTCTGTCCCCTCTTTTTGGCAAGTTAAAATTTTAAATGAATGGAAAGAGGAAATGTAAAGGAAGACCTTTGCCACCGCTTCTGAATGAAGTTCTTTTATTTCCATCTCTCTAAAATGATCTCTCCTTGACTATGATTTATTGTGTAAATCTTTTTCAGCTCTATCCTTGATCTGCCAGTAAACATCGTTCTCAATGTCTGTTGAGGATATATTAGGATGAGAGTACCAAGCTCCAGGAAGACTGTATCTACTTTCAAGAAATTTATGATAATTCAAAAAGTATACTCAGGCTTTTCAAGATGTCTTCCTATTATTGAGCACCTACTCAATACCATACTCAGCATTTTCATATATGCTGTCTGACTTAGTCCACACCACCCTGCAAGATAGGTTTTTTATTACCTTCCTTTCTTCAAGATCTCAAAGACAGTAAATGACAGAATTGAGATTCTATATGCAAAACACAGATTTGGTGATTGTATACTCATGGTGAATGTGTCCACACTGGCAGATGAATATAGGTATCAGATTTTACCCCTTTCTATCAAATTTTAAAAGTTTTTTTAGTACAAAACAGATTTTAAGCTGAGCACTGAAAGGACAATTCAGAAGTATTGCTGAGGGAATGATGCCAAATGAGGAAGCCAAATTGGTCGGAAGCCTAAAATCAATCAATAAGGAGCAATTTCTTGTTCAGCTATGAGTCATATTATATTCTTCAAGTACCTTTATTGTTTCAGTGACACCAAATGCAGAAGCCAACCCAGGTGGTATAAGGGTGAACTGAGAATGGAGAGGGATGGTTTGGGGAGGGAATAAGTTTTTGAATGGAAAACACCCAAATGGCTCATAAACTGGCACATCTAGCACTGGCTTTTTGGAATAATTGAAACCATAGCAGTTTCCCTTGCTGCCTGCCAATCACTTGTTTTTAAATGATGTGTGTAGAACAATTTCCTATTCTTTTTCCCAAAATACTTGATTACAATTTTTGAAGATTAGCACATACTATGTTGTATAAGGCAGTTCATTTCTACTATTTTTAGTGGGTTTTTTAAGGGATGTAAGATTCAATAAAATGCACACATTTGAATTGTATAGTTTGATCTGTTTTAAGACATGTATATTCTTGTAACCACTATCATAATCATGAAATAGAACATTTCCATCACTTCAAAAAAGGTCCCATGTGTCCTTTTTGCTGTAGGAATTTTAATGTGACTTGTTAACTTGATGACTCCAAAGATCTAGATCTCCAGCTTTCACCTTGCTTTCAAAGTCCAGGCCCATATTTTTAGCTACTTACTTGACATACCTACCTGATGTTACAGACAGGTACTTCAAACCAAACACAACAGATAAAGAAAACATAAAAGATAAAGAAATACTTTATCTTAGCTACAAAAAAGCCCCCATCTCCCACCTGCAGGTCCCATCTCAAGCCATTTTTCTGTTTCTTCAGTTTGGTTGAGGTAATTGTCATCTATCAAGTCACATTAACTAGAAATTTTTAAAAATAATCTTTACTCCTCTCGCAAAAAGTGATTCTAATTAATGCACTTGAACATTCTTTAATCAGTCTTTTCCACTTCCACTATCCTCAATCAGACACTTATCTTGCCTGCACGATTACAAAAACTCCCAACTTGTTTCTCTGTGCTCCAATTCATCCACCTATCTGCCACTTTAATTCTCTTTTGAAAACCCAGATCCACCTGTTTGCATTCTCTGCTTTCAGGGATCCAACTACACACAAAATGGTACTAAAAATCTTCCACAGTATGGCCCAAACCTCCCCTTCTGGATTCCTCCCCTGAAACCTTCCCAGAGAGCATGCTATACATTTTCATCTTCTGTGCTTTTCATCAGATCTTGGTCTCAAATGTGCTGCCTCCACCTGAACACTGTTCAGCCCAGTTATGACTTTTCCTCAGTGAAGCCTTTCCATACCTCTCCCAGATAAAATCAGTGTTCTCTCTGTTACACTTGATCTCCCATAGCATGTTGCACATGTTTACCACATTGAATAGACATAGTGGTGAAAAAGAACAGAAGAGCTGAGTCAGAAGATCTGGGTCTAACTTAAAAATCTCATTCCTTACTTGCTGTGCCATCTAAGACAAATCATATAACATCTCTGAGCCTCAGTTATTTAATCTCTAACATTGAAATAATAACTATAATACCCTATTTCACAGGACTCTTGTGGTGATCAAATGAAGTAATTATAAATGTGAATGTGGTGTACACTATACAGCTATTGGATATTTTAATTACAAGCTGTATCTTCTGAAAGGTTTTGAACTCTTTTGAGTACAAAACCAGAATCCGGTCCTCTTAATATCCCTTCTACCTAACACAGTGCCTGGGCCTGCTTGTTGTTGCCTAGATTAGTTTGAGACATAAATTACCATTTTTTTAATAGAATCATGTTCTCTCATTTAACTCTGCCCACTTTCTACAACATTTCTTCAAAAGCCAATCATAACATTTTTATTTCTTTTTATAATTCTTTATTGCCATCATAATTAAATAGTTACATTAAAAGTCTCTGAGGAAATGAAATAAATATTCTATCCATGATTAATTTTAAATGCTTTCATTTATTCAACAAAAACTTTTTAGAGCCATTATGTGCCCAGCCCTGTTCTAGGTACTGGTTGAACAGAGGCAAACAAGAGACTTCGTAGAACTTACATTATAAGGAACAATAAGCACAAGCTAACAAATAAAGATGTTAATCTATATAGTTAAAGGTACTATAAATAGAACAATGTTGAGTTCAGGGCTGTTGTAACTAGAGTGGTCAGAGAAAGCCTCTCTGAGGAAGCGGTGTTTGAGCATCCAAGATGAGAAGGGAGGTAATCATATAAAGAGAAAGGAGAACAGCCTTCCAGGTGAAAGGAAGAGTACAGACAGAAGCCCTGAGACAAGAGCAGGCAAAGCAGATGTGAGGAACTGGAAGAAGGCCTATGTGGAAAGGAGGGACAGTGGTCTGAGGTGAAGTCAAAGAAGCAGACAGGAAGCAGACCATGTAGGGCTTGGAAGGTTGGGATAAAAAGTTATTTTATTCTAATTGTAGGAAACCACTGAAGGGGTTTAAGCCTGAGTGTGATATGATTTGTTTTTAAAAAGACTGCCTTAGTTGAATATGGAGAATATATTCTGGAGGCAGTGGGAGAAGGAATCAGAAGGTAGGCTGGTTGTTTTGGTCCAGACCAGAGGTGTTGGTGGCCTGGATTAGGGTGTTAGTGCTGAAGATGGGGAAGAGTAGTAGGTTCTGGGGTATGTTTGGCAGGTAGAATTTACTGATAGATTTAATGACAATGAGTGAGGGAAAGATGTTAAAGATGACTATTATGATCTAAGTGGTAGGTAAAGCTTTAGTTTACTGAGTTTACACAGTACCTATAGGAGCACTGTGCTAGGTTCTGAGAATACAAAGCTCAGTGAGTAAGACTGTTCTTGCCCTCAAAAAACTTCCAGTCTAGTGGGCAGTGCCTCCTACCCTGGTGATTTCTGTGGGATGTTTCCCACAGAGCTATGCACAGGTTATGATGACAGCATCAAGAAGGATCCCCTAGCCCAGTCCAGCTAAGTGAACCAGGAGTTCTGCCCTCTTGGGAGAATAACTAGGGAACTTTCTCAGGATTTGTGAATATATGCAGCAATTCACATTGCTAGTAAAGCTTTAATTTAGCTTACTCTTTATGAATATAGTATGATAGTTGTCAATAGCATCTTCAGGATCTCTGATTTGTTATTTCTTTTTGAAAGAGAAAAGAAGGATATAGGAAAAAAGTCAGGAGGCTAAAGATATTGAACAGAGGCAAGGTGCTTGGTTAATAAGAATGGGAGTCAGTGTGGTTTGGGCTTCTGCTACAGCCCCTCCTCAAAGCCTATCAACCGCATGCCTGTGGTTGAGGGCAGATGGAGTTTTGTTTTGTTTTCATTTTAATTGCAATTATAACTTTTATGAAATTACCATATGACCCCTGAATGACTTCTCAAGTTTTTTCTTTGTGGTATTTATTTAATTACTTACATTTAACTAGCTGATACATTCATATGTTTCAAAAATCAAGACAAAATGAACAGGTATACGGTGAAAAGTTTCTCTCCTACCCTGCTCCTTCCACCCAGTTCTCACCCGAACCCCCTCATAGGTAGAGATAACTTTATATTGATTTTTCTATGTATCTTTCTAGTGTTTCTTCAAGCAAATATAAGCAATTCTTATATTTCTTCTCTTCCCTCCTTGTACACAAGAAGTGGCATATTTTATTCTCTGATCTGTATCTTGCATTTCCCTCTAACAATGTGTCTTGGAGATCTGTCCTATCAGTACCAAGAGAGCTTCCTCATGCTTTCAAACAGCAGCATAGCATCACATTGCAGGATATGCCATGGTTTGTTTGACTACTCCCCTACTGATGAACCCTTAGGTTGCTTCTAATCTTTGCTATTTATTCCATACAATGCTGTAATGAAGAACCGGGCACATATGTCTGCAGATCTAGCTTTAGAATAAATCCCCAGAAGTCTCCCAAATGCTTAAATAAAATCTTCAAGATGGTATGACTGGTTGTCCAAATTAGAACCTCAGCTTTCCAAGGATTAATTCTCACATTTCATTAAGAGTAGTTCCTCATTCTTTAGCATTTAAGTTGTATTTTTTCCAATAAGGAAAAGTATTTAAATATTTAATTTTCCTTTTCTGCAACCAACAATATATTTGGTATGATGTTTCTAAAAAGAAAAATAAAACAGTGAAATTCAGTTATATTATGCTCCAGCTAATAATTGCAAGCTCCAGCAAATACTCAAGTTATCTTACTTCAATATATAGAAGCCTCTCTGTAATGAAGTCTCAGATGGGAATGCTGGGTTTGGAGTTGAGGACTTGTAGGGTACATGCTGGCCCCAAAAGCTCTATTGCTGCCTCTCACCAGGACCAAACACCCCTTGGCCACTTTTTATTGGGGTCCCTTTTCATTTCCCTTAGTAATTCTTCATTTTCACATAACTGCTTTTGGAAAATAGGTTTATAAGCTTGGTGAAATGAGTAGACTTTGGTAAATGTGCTTTGTAACTATGCCATGTAAAGTAAGTACTCCATCCTTACACTAGCCCCCACCTCCAACCCAAATACATTTTCTTATTTATTAGATTCCAGATACAGGAGACCAGGATGGAAGAATCCTAGGGCACTTAATTTACACAGATCTTTGGGAGAACATGAACAGATGCAGAAAGTGATGTGGCAGTGAGAGCTGCCATTTAAGAAAACATATATCTTAAGAAGCAAGCTCAGCCATATTACTATCATTATTAGAAAAGGAAATGATCTTTCCACATAGTACTTCTCTTTCATTGGGCTTCATGTGTGTGGAGGTGTTTTTCTTTAATGTATATAATTATAGCACAAGAGAAAATGTTTAAAAATAAACTGTGAGGTTGATAAGGTACAGCAAATAGCCATCCAGAAAGCTTTTCTTAGCTCTAAAGCTCTCTTCCTCA